GCGCCCCGGCCGACGCGCACTCATCCAGCGCCGAGAGCATCGAGGGGTCCCCGCGCAGAGGTGGGCAGTGCGGCCGGGGTGGGAGGGCAGTGGTGGGAATCTTCGGGCCCCGCGGCGGGCCTGCTCAGCAGAGTGCACTGGGGCTGGAGGGCAGCTAAGGGACCTGCCCTCCCAGGTCACCCGCCGCACGTGGTTGTGCAGGACGCGAACCGGGTACTGCAGTGTCCCCCACTAATAATTCTGCGGCGTCTGGACATTCTTGACTGGCCTTGCTTCCAGCTGCGTGTGGTGGCGCCGTTCAGGGTTTGTGATCTAAGCCCCTGCGAGCCTGTCTCAGGAGAAAACACCTTGCCAAGTGGCGCCTTTCTCCCGCGGTGCTGGCTCAGGCCGCTCCATCCGCAGGCCCAGAGAGCTGGCAGCTTGCTGCCTCCTGGGATACCTGTGGGCTGCTCCAGGAGGCCAGCCCTTGGGCCGAGGCTGCCGCACAGGTGGCACGCCTGGCGGGGAGAAGCAGCTTTCCCCTGTTGACATCTTACTCCACCACCAAGCCTGGTGTCCTCGTCAGGGCTACCTGGAGGTGGTCCTGTGGGTCCTGTGCTGTGGCCTTGGCTGTTGGCCGGCGCTCACCAGTTGTGCTTGGTCAGGGATGTAGGCCCCTCTCCCTGGTCTCCCCACCAGTAGGTGTGTTAGGAGGAAAGCACCTGTGCCACAGGATTCTCCTTCCTGGGCGTGATCTCTGGTATTCAGGCAGGGAAATCACAGCCTGGAGCCTGTCCTCTGCTCTCTGAGGCCCTCTGACTAAGACCTGCAGGGAAGGTTTCCAGGAGGTTTGATAATATTCTGGTGCAAGAATCCGGTAGCCTCTGATAGTGTTGGGGGGTCAAAACCCTCCAGAACCTGCAAAACACAGACCCCTTCTCTCCACATGCCTGGGCATCACTCTGCAGGAAGAGGCGGGGTGGGCCAGGGAGCCTCTCCCAAGGGTTTGGGTGGGGGATGG